AGCAAAAACGGCCGTATTTGGTTAAGAAGAAGGTACTGTTTCATCAAGACAACGCACTAGCTCACAAATCCGTTATTGCAATGGCCAAAATTAACGAATTATAGTTTGAACTGCTACCTCATGCACCCTGTTCACCAGATTTAGCCTCCTCGGATTATTTTCTGTTTCCAAACTTGAAAAAATGGCTCAGTGGTCTAAGATTTTTCAACGATGAAGAAGTGATATCGGCAGTTAATGGCTATTTTGAGGAGCAAGGCAGTTCTTGTTATAAAAAGGGTATCGAACTTATTGAACATCGCTGGGAAAAGTGTATAGAGCTCAAAGGAGATTATGTTGAAAAATAAGTAAATTTTTTTACAACATTTTTGTGTTTTCTTCGTTGGGTCGGGTACTTCTGGGACCACCCTCGTAGACAGTTCCTAGCGTGCAAGTGGTACATTCCGCGTTTGCTCGCTATGAGCGCTGTGAGCGTTATCAAAAGCGTCCATCTATGGAGGAATGACTCAACGATACGACACGCTCCATGACCATGCTGCAAGCTGCAAGTCAGTTAACCATCACGCTTTGTTGGTTGCAGAAGGCCGAGATAGTCTGTAGAGTATACTCTGAGAAGATAGGTGATTGAGGAGCAGAGTAGCAAGATTATATTTGATCGTGTTTATAGGAATATAATCAGGGATATTTGCTATGTGGGAAATTATTACTAACTATGCTACCCATGAAATATATCTATTAGCTGTGCCAGACGGGTTGTTTGTGTTATTCTCTCCGAAGTCTAAGTCTTATGCATTAGGACTTTCCCCGTTTTTCTGCGTTTTCAAAATCTTTGCCTTGCACCCGCATTATGGGTAATTAAGCCAAAAATGTAATAACTTTTTTATATTTCTGTATGTACCATATTTTTTCACCTGTTATTTTTATTATACTCCACCAATCAGGGATTTTCTTTTCTTGTCGCACTCATTTTTGAAATTCAGCAATTTCGCATATGTAGTATTCAGGTTGAGTAAGAGAAAAGTGATGTGCAACTAACTCTTAGCTTTGCATACATCTCAAGTAAGTATATTTGAGACAAGAAACCAAAGGAACTATCACAGATCATTATAGTATGCAGCTTACAGGTTAGACCTCCAATAATGTCATTTCTGAAGCAGATGTTATATCATTACAGCCAAACATTGGTAGCTGAAGCATCTTGAAGTTTAGGCAACACGTATAGCTAATGTCAAAAAACATACATAATGCCACTTTTCAAGATACGATAGGACACGGAGTCCCGCTGCATGTCTGCTCAATTAAGAACCAGACATATTCGTAAAAATGGTATAAGGGATACAAAAGCTTGACAAAAAATGTACATGCTGCTGGCCGAAAACGAAACCACAAATTGAAGGGTTACTCACGTTTCGGCAACCTCCGAGACCCTTTCCAAAGTTGTTTGATGTTAGTGAGTATTATATCCAAGATCTGTGACTCAATTTGGCTGCCAGCATAACATGAACATTGATCCTTGAAGAGCTGAGATTACCCTGGAAGCAATTTTCTCAGTGTATCTGCGAACTCCTGTCAGATTTCAGTGTCTGTTTCCGTATCATGCCCGAAGCTCATTAGGCGACCGCTCGTCCCAGCAACGTTTCGGGGACAACTTTGGAAATTGGAAGTTTCAGACATTGAATATTACTTTATAATAAGTCCAGGGCCCGCGTTAGGGAGAGGAGGGATTGGGAACGGGAAAGGGCGAAGGCTTCCCATTTATTTCCCAGGAATTGTCAGTCATGCCCGATATTACGGGATATTTAAATAATGATTAGGGTCTATCGTTCTCATCCAGCCAACAGAGCAGCTGGTTTATGTATTCTTATCCGCTATCATATTAAAATGAGGGATGAGCAGGATAAATATTGAAAAACTGGTAACAGGAGTTATAATAACAAAAAATTCTGTCATCGTTCATCAAGTAAAGACTATTTTACCAAAAGTGAAGTACACCCAACCGGAAATAATACGGAGATATACTTAACTGAGAAGGTGTTTGAACGTTATGGCTATTTTAGAGTGACAATACTTTACTACATTATTTTGCTGCAATAAAGTAGCCAGCAGCATATGGCAATAATTTTAGTATGGCACGGCTACATAGTAAGCTAGACATGTTTGACATTTGCAACAGGATGAGTTTTTAGTGTGGTGTCGGACCATGACTCCGTTGTTCTGCACGGTACCTAATAAAGTTGGACACAAAAAATGTATCCATCAGTATGCTATTTACTTAGAAAATATTGTTATCTCTACAGGGTGATTCATAATTACGTGATGACCCTACCCATATTTTTACAAATGTAACAACTTACATTTTATTGCATTTTATTAAATGAACTATGATATAAAATACTATAGGGTTTTATTTTCAAATTGTTGAGTTACCGACATTATTTCGAAAAAAATCCAACTTCGACAATTCGGACCACCGCAATATTTATAACTCGAGCGCTGCTTTTTCACCAGAACAATTCCACGGTCCCATATTTTCTACTTCCTCACCTAAGTGGTCAAGTACGCAAAATAAACTATTTCTCAAAATCTTCAAATGGAAGACCCTGAGTAGTTTTTGAGTTACAAAACACACGAGGGTACCCTCTTGACTTTTCAAGTTTATTGCATGACCTTGGGTAGATTTGCTGTATACGTAAAATACACGAATTCTGGTAATCTACCGTTACCAACTAAGGGCCGTACCGTCAGTCGTTGCTACAACTGTAGCACGCCTTTACGGCCCCCTTGTTTTTCATAGATTTGTACTGGTCCGTGTCAGCGCTCTATTTTGAGGTAATGTTAGAAATATCTATTTGCATCAAGTTGTTCATGACTTTCATTTATATCATCTGCTATACAGGGTGCGGCAGAGAGGACGGACGTTTTTGGGATGGGTAGTACTCTCCGCCTCCGTCTACGAGAGAGGTGGGGAGGGTGCCGTTTGACTTGTGAGATCCTAGCATTATTTTACCAGTTGTCGTTATGGAGCCTTGGACGGTGGAGCACCTATCATTGTTTCGTCCGAAATGATGAGTCAGTCATCGTCGTAAAGCGTGAGTTTCGTCGCCACTTCAACATTCATCGGAATAGAGCTGTTCCCTCTCGAAACACTATCCGTCGTTGGGTTGAATCACTTCGCAGGCGTGGTGAACTGATCAACAGAAGACCAAGAGGAGCGCGGCGAACAGTTCGAATTCCTGAAAATGTTGAGCGCGTTTGACAGGTCTTTCTTCTCAGTCCGACTCGGTCTGCCCGGAAACATGCTGCTGCACTTAGTGATCGTTCGGTAATGCGAATTTTGCATATGGATCTCCGCTTTCACCCCTAAAAATTGTCCATTGTGCAACAGTTACAGCGGAGATTATGCACAACGAATGAAATTCGCACGTGAGATGGAAGCACTGATCGATCAAAATGAGAACCTCATTTTGTTTATGAGTGATGAAGCCCACTTTCACAACCCACAAGCCCCAAACTCTGGACGAATTGAAGGGCGAAATTCACGTGGAAGTCGCCCAAGTTAAGAGAGCGATGTTGGAGAGAGTCTACGCGAACTTCCAAGAACGCATCCAGCACTGCATCAACGATTTCGGCCACCACATGCCTGATGTGATTTTCCGCACTTGACTGTCTCAAATGCTATTTCCTTGTGAACCTGATTCCATCAATAAATTTGTTTTCGAGGAAAAATTAACTATTTTATGATTTTTTTTAAAACCGTCCATCCTCTCTGCCGCACCCTGTATAAGTCAGAAATTTCCTAAAATTCAGAAAGAAGTCATACCTTCTCAACAAGAGAGCGCTGATGCTGACACGGAATAGTAGAAATCTAGAAATATCGCAGCCTTTCTGAATGTTAGAAAAAACTATAAAAATCAAGGAGGCCATAAAAGGGAACTACAACTGTAGGAACGACTGGCGGTACGACCCTGAATGCCATTTTTTATTTTGAAAGCTATTTCAATATTTTTCATTTACCTTGATATCTGCTTTACAAAAAGTAGTCGCACACCCCCATATACATTAGGTACATCAAAGAAAAAGGTTGTGAGAAGGGACATCAAAGAATGTGAAAATATCTGAGTGTTCCATTTGAAATTTAAAATAGTTAAACTACCCAGAAAACTGAAGAAGTAGGTAGACGGAGAAATATTTCTGAAGAAAAATTCAGTACTGCTCACTAGAAAGAGTACCAATAACAGAATATGCAGGTGACACAGTGGATGAAAATTTGAGCTGGACAGACCGCATAGAGTATGTAGCCAAAAAGATGAATTTAGCATCTTTTGCTCTAAGGATCTTAAAATACATAATGAATAGAAACGCCTTATTACATGTCTACTACTCTATTCTATACTCCCATCTCAAATATTCAGTGCTATATTGGGGATCATCTGTTAAGGCGCAACGAATCTTCATCCTTCAAAACAAAATAGTTAGACTCTTACTCTCAGCTAGAGTCTTGTCGAAAAACATTTAAGGTAGGTGCGGGCAATTTCGCCCGGTGGTTAATAACGCCCGCTTTTAAATTTGGCGCTTTGCACTGGATTATTTGAACTAACGCAGGTTATAAGGAACATACTCGACTGTAGTAAGACGAAGACAGTGATAGTCGACGCCATTAGCGAGTTTGCGCAGTCAGTTATAACCAAGCATACAAAACAGGTGGTTGTGCGATCCATTTTATAAAATTAGGTGCTGCAAATAAGTAAGTAAATTTGTATTTTAGCATGATAAATGGTTGTTATTTTCCACACGTAATGCTTAAGGTCTATGACAAGCGAATAGCTAATTAGTTCTGCTTGTTAAAATGTGTTTTTTCTTGAATTGGCTTTTTTTGTTGTAAGAAGTGAATCGTGTAATAACGCCCAGTCAAATTCGGGGTGGGCGTTATTAAACAGCCTAAGCGGGCGTTATTAAACAAATGAAAATATGATATTTTTGAACTATTTCAGAAGTGATTAGACATGGAAAAGAAATCGTCAACACCAGCCCGAAAAAGAGGTGTAGGATGGGACGAAGCGAATATGGAGGCAGCCATTCTGTCAGTATCAAGGGGGATCTTAACTCAGAGAGCCGCATCGGAGAGATATGATATTCCCAGAAGAACACTTCGGGATCACCTCAAAACTGGAAAATGCGTTAAAAGATTTGGCCGAAAAGCCGTGCTAAATACAGAACAAGAGAAAGACCTAGCGGAAAGGATTCTGCGTTTGGCCGATATAGGGTTGCCGCTAACCTTGAAAACGTTACGTTTTAATGTTTTCAAGTTCTGTGAAAAAAACAACATCCCAAATAATTTCAATACAGAAAGCCAAAGAGCAGGAAAGGATTGGATGAAATCTTTCTTAAAAAGAAAGCCGATTGTATCAAAAAGGAAAGCCCAATTTATGAATCAAGCAAGAGCGCAAAAACTGAATTAAGTTCATAGTAGAGGACCATTTCCAAAAAATTGGTAACTTATTAGATAAATTGGAGTTAAAGCACAAACCTGAGAAAATTTTCAATATGGATGAGAAAGGTTGCCGTCTGACCCTTCAACATCAACCTACCGTTCTTGCACAAAAAGGTGTGAAAATCTCAAATGAACATGCAGAAAATGTTACCGTGGTGGGGTGTGTATCCGCCATTGGTAATCCAATTCCGCCAATGATAATTTTCAATGGTAAAAGAGTTAAGCCAGAATACTGTGACGATTTACCAACAGGCAGTATAGTAAGGATGTCCCCTAAAGGTTATATGACCACCGAGCTCTTTGTTGATTTTATAAAGCACCTTGCCAGTTTTAAACCACCTGGCAAAGTCCTCTTAGTGTTTGATGGTGCAGCATGTCATTTGGACTTGAGAATAGTTAATGCCGCTGAAGAGCACGATATTACCCTTTATTGTCTACCCTCAAACACAACGCACGAACTACAGCCGCTCGACAAATCTGTGTATCCATCTTATGAACATCATTGGGATGTAGAGATGCTGAAGTATCAGTCTGAGAATCCAGGCCGAAAAATTAACAAAATCAGCTTCAACAAGATTTTTACCAACGTTTGGTCCAAGTGTATGACCTACTCTAATAACTAGTGGATTCAGGACTGTAGGGATTTATCCTTTTAACCCCGATGCCATTCCCGCAACGGCGTTCGCTCCATCTATCCTGACGCAACGTTTACTGCCCGACACCAATAGGCCAGAAGACGTCGACCAGCAACCCTCAACGTCCAAGGGTGTCGGAAAATATTTATTTGCAGGACAAAAAGAAAATGCCACCTCACACATAGTGGATTCATCTGATTCCGAAGATGACTTGCCACTTCAAGAGTTACAAAAACGGATTCACTATCGTTCTAGAACGTCTTTCCAAAAACTTCTGGCGACACCAGATATGAAGCAAGCGGTTACTGTTAAACTACCACGGAAAAAAGCAATGAACTACAAAGCACAGACAATTACTAAGGACTTGTTCCAGCAAAATCCATCGAGCTCAAGAATTGTTCCAGATCAAGTTGCAGATTGGTATTGTCCAGCTTGCAAAGAAAATCGTTTATCAGACATGAGACAGTGCATGAAATGCCAAGTCTGGTACCATGAGGAGTGTGTTGGTCTGACAGAAAGCGATTTAATTTTTGAATGCCCCGAGTGTTAGTTTTTCATTTCATGTTTTTTTTTTGTTAATAATGCAGGAATGCTCTAATAATATCCGTTGCATTATCTATTTCATGTTCCTTTTCACTTAGCGAAGAAAAACGTTTCGTTTCTATTAGAAAGTTTTGTGCGGGTAGTAGCGTCCAAACATTGAAGACTTGTTTTTTTAAACTGTAAAATAGTTTTAAGCAGAATATATTTGTGCTTAGTTCAGTTTTTGCTTACTTTCATGTACCTTACACTGCATTTACCATAGGGCGTTAATATACTACTAGGTGGTTAATAACGCCCAAAAACACCATTTTTTGAAATGGCGTATAGAGGTCCTGTGATACTTTGAGAACTAAAAAAGGCTGAAATTTGTATTTATTTATCAATAAAGATGTTTTTACTAATGCAGTAATTTATCAATCCTCACTCGTAATTAGTAGATTAAAAAAAGTTTGTTAAGTGGGCGTTAATACCCTCAGGTACCTTACTTATTTTAGAGGCGTGTGAAATCATATCCCACCAAATTCACCTAAAAGGGTCCCAGAGGTACAATCAAAGGAATAGTAACAACGTTACATTGCCTCAGCAGATACCCCTGACTACATATATGGACCTAACTTCAATAATATGTACTCCGAGTTTAAAAACCATCGTCAACGTAAAATTCTTTAAAAAACAACTTTTAACATACTCGTACCCTAAGAGTTTTTACTATCTGCAAGAGTCTTAGAACTCTTAATAATTACATATTTAACTACGTTATTGATTATTTTACTTATTTATACATTTATGCTGTAGGTATATTTCTTTAACAAACATATTTTTTTTCTACTTCTTATGTAACTTGTTGTCGACTGTTTTATTCTAATTAAGTGATGTATATTTTTCTTTTGTTCATGTTTTGTGAAGTGTTATGCTTTAGACGTGAAAAATCTAACCTATTCTTAGGTGATAATCCTAGTAGGTGTATCTGTGCTTTAGAAACATTTACGGGATTCTTAGGATTTGAAGGGATTTTGGAGTAAGCATACGTTCACACAAAGTTATCTCTCGCCGATGATCGGCCACCCTGAGATGAACTCGTGCGGACACCCCTGGCAGCAACTGTTGCATTTGTATGTAATCTGTGATATTGTTTACTAAAAGTTAGTGCATTTGTTTGATTCAAACTGAAAGAACGAAGAAGTTAAAGTAAGTCATTAAGAAATTGCAAATTCGAAGATATATTAAAATAGGATTAAGCTCTCTAATGCCTCGCGTAAGAGACGCCACTGAACGACAACTAACATTTTCACAGTCAGGGCTGTTCCGACATCTAACGGTGGCAAGCATCACTTTGAGCAGGTATCTTGGGCGCACTTGGGAGAGTAGTTGGGAGTGGCCTGAAATGATGGCGCTGTAGACTTTGCCATAGACTTTTTGAAAACAGTATGTGGAAAGTTAGTGCTTTTCCATGGATTTGGCATTCTGCAACACAGTTTGTCCGATAAATTGGATGAGGCTCAACGTTTTCATATTCATTGTTAAGAATTAACAGTTTCTATACAAAACTACCATCCTGACATCTGACGGCGGATTACCATCATGGAATGTGGTTTGGGTAGAGAGCTTGTGATAAGTTTTAATAGCCTCGGCAAATGAAAGCAAAAATATATATGTATATGTAGTTTGTATGGGCCAAAAAACTGTATTTCATGCGCTAGAGCCCAAATACTCCAAACGGCTTGAATGGGTACATTAAAATTGAATAAAATCAAAGTGGCTGATTTTAATAAAATATTTCAACCTCTAAATTCCGATTTCTCGGGCATGGTCGATTTTGCCATAGCACATAGGCACTTTTGTCTCATTTGTCTACCATTGCCCACCAAAGGGACAGGCAAATCACATCGGCGTACATTTTTTTCTCTAGATTCATGAAGCCAATCGTACCGGGTAAACTCAGGTTTAGCAAGGCAAATGTACTATAGCTGTAGTCACCGTTCTTGGCGGGTCAAACCTGTACCTGTATCACTTTATATAGGTATCTCCATCTCCCTGCTAGATAGACATGCAACGTTTGTTCGGTAAGCTCAAAGACAGACTTACTTGACATCGGCGTGCAACTTGAGTTGTCCTGTTCTTAATCTTCAATATAACATTCTACAATGTCCAGAAATATGATCAGTGGAGAAGGCCGACAGCTCGTGCTAAATTTATTTTCAGGAAGGGAATGAAAACAGTGATCCCCTGTTACCCACTTCATGCGGACTGGAGTTAGTTAGGAAAATTAAGGTCCGCCCATGGTAGTGAGACTCGATTTGTTTACTTATTTCATATGGTGTCCATGACGTAACCGCCATGAACGGTGACTACAACTGTATCTGTGTTGTGATTTGAATCGTTCGGTTATTGTTAATAAATATGGATAAATTAAATAAGGTAAGGTCAATATTGTGAATTGGAAAGGTGCAAAATAAGAAAAATTGTCTTCCTGAAACAGCAGCAATGGCAGAATATCTGATATTGGAAATAACGGGACGCATTGCTTGAATACTAGGTTTTTTTTAAATAGTTGTGATATGAGTAGATTCTGGCTCAAAGCAAATACCCATTGGTTCATAATATGGAAATTACTGCTATTACATTATTATTGCCACTGTATTTATCAAATAAAAAGATTTGGAAGTAATTTAATTAATTTGGTATTTATATTTTTTGGAGCCTACTGAGCTTCTCACTAGAAATTCGTTGCAATAGAATGCGAACGTCAAACTATTTAGAACCTGAAAGTAAAGGCCTTTTCTAAGAACCTTTCAATTTAAAATTAAGTAGATGAGACAATGTAAAAATTTTATTTAGTCCTTTCAGTATTGATCAAAAATTTTGGTTAGTCTCCAATAGTTTTTGTTTTTCAGTGTTAATGTTGGGCATACAATCCTGTTAACAAAGCTTATATTCGAACTGAGCACTCAAAAAAACAGCAAGATTACTGAAATAAAGCAAAGTTACGTGACAACTGTCTAGGTAAAAGCCCAACGTTGAGATACGTACCCTTCGCGTACCGACTATACAGGGTGGTGCATCGAAAAACAGACGCATTTACTGCAGTTCAGTTCTTTTTTGGAAAAACGCTCAGACCCGTCGATTTTATTTTCGAGGGAGAAACAAGTTTGGCAAAAAATCACGTTGACGCGTGCATCCTCCTGGGCGGGGGTGACACCAACCCTAAAATCTTAAATGGAATGGGGGGTCGAGTGAACTTATTTTAAAGGTCTTTCAATTCCCTTTATAATGATATAAAATTAATATACTTCAGTTCAGTTGTTTTGAAGATTTATTGATTTTAAGCTTAAAGTAGGCTTTAATAGGTACAGACTAGTTTGTACTACATTCAGAAGAAATTTGACTAAAAGAATTTTGTTGTTGAAAATAGCTATTGGAGCGTTTTTTTGTGGCATAAAAGTTATTTCTTGAAGAAAGATAAGGAAATATCTCGCACTTATTTTAAATAGGAGTTTAGTACATAGTTTGCGATTGATTTGACCAAACTTTGTTGCTAAAATAACTTGTAACGCTTTATTACATAAATTAACCATGGTATATTCCACAGCAGAAAGAGTTGAAATTATCGAAATATTTTTCGGAAATAATCGGTGTGCTAATAGAACAGCAGAAATGTTTAATGAGCGACATGAGAACAGTAACGTGCATCGAAAATATGTTCTAGAACTTGTAACTATATTTCGGGAAACTGGGTCAGTTGCCAATAAAAAACGCAACATTGAAAATCCCATAAGGAACGAAGCAATAGAAGTGAGGGTTTTAGGTCAAGTTTATGTAGATCCTACGTTAAGTACCCGCTAATTGGAGACTGTGTGTGGTGTTAGTTGACGTACTGTCCAACGGATTCTAAAGGCCCATGGTTTTTTTCCGTATAAAATTTACCTGGTACAAGAATTTAATGAAGACGATTTTGATCGGCGATTACAATTTTGTGAAGATATAAGTGAACGAATTATACACGATGAACATTTTCTTAAATGGCGTAGTAAATCATCATAACTGCCGATATTGGTCCGATTCTAATCCCAGAATTTATCATGAGGTTCATACACAGCAGCCACAAAAATTAAATGTTTGGGCTGGTATTTTTGGCAATCATTTAGTTTTTCCTCTTTTCTTACCTGGAAATTTGACCGGTGAAATGTATTTGAAATTACTGGAAGACGCCATAGATCCTGCATTAACAGCCATAATTGAAAATCAGAATGATCGGCGGTACATTGCGAATAGGTTGATGTTCCAACAGGATGGTTCCCCCCCACATTACGCATTACGTGTTCGACAATATTTAGATCAGACGTTTCCAGATCGATGGACTGGTAGAAGAGGTGCCATTGAGTGGCCCCGAAGATCGCCAGATTTATCACCTTTGGATTTCTTTATGTGGGGTCATTTGAAAAGCAAAATCTATGCTACTTAGCCAAAATCATCAGAAGACTTGCGACAAAGAATTGTGAATGAGTGCCTTCATATTACTCCTCAAATATTGAAAATTGTGCGGCAACATTTTGAGCAAAATCTTTATTATTGCATGGAGAGTCATGGTGGCCATTTTCAACATTTACTTGCCTAACGGGTCAGTTCATTCTTCATTTTTAAATTACTTTGCTGCCAAATTTATTGATCTCCACTAATCATGATGTATTAGTTTTATTTAAGCTTTAAATCAATAAATCTTCAAAACTACTGAACTGAAGTACATTAATTTTATATCATTATAAAGGGAATTGAAAGACCTTTAAAATAAGGTATCACTCGACCCCCCTTTCCTTTTAAGATTTTGGGGGTGTTGTCACCCCTGCTTAGGGGGCTGCACGTGCTAACGTGGTTTTTTGCCAAACTTGTGTCCCCCTCGAAAACAAAATCGACGGGTCCGAGCGTTTTTCAAAAAAAAACTGAGCTCCCAGTAAATGCGTCTGTTTCGTTTTCGATGCGCCACCCTGTATATTATCACTTGTGGATCGA